GCTTTTCCCTGCCGGCATCGGTGGGGAAAATTCAGCTTCGTCCGAGCTCTACCGTGGCAAGCGAGTGCGAGCCGTTTCCTGTGGTGAAAACGAGCTTTTGGTTATTTTGGTTGTTAGATTTCAGGGGTTTTTTCATTTTTTGGCAAGTTTTACCCTAACAGCGGCGAGCTAAAAATACCTGAGCGACTGGAAATGGCCTTCTCCTTGGTACGGATGTGCTGTGCCACACGGCTCGGGCCCCGTTCCCTCCCTCTCTCTCCTTTGCCGTTAGCTTTCGGCTCCGGTGGTGGCTCCTGCCAAGGCATCTGGGGAAAAACCCAGCCACCCCGGAACGTTTTGGAAGAGCCGGGAACGCTGGCCATCCACACCAGCTTTCCCAAACCCGCTTTACAGTTGTTTCGAGGTGCCGGCAGGTTGAAGGTTTGCCGGCAGAGCCGCGTGGCAAAGCTCCCGGCAGTTCCTCGGATGCATGCTGGCAACGGGGTGGTGACTCTCTCTCCTTCTCCCAGTGCTGTTGAAATTTCGGACGGATAATGGCCGGGATCCTTCACCCCAAAACTATGCCGAGGACTCAAAACTGCTGCTCCAGATCCGCCGCGATGTCCTGGAGGCATTGGGGTTCGGCGCCGATTTGCTGCCGGATGAATTCGTCAGGTGCGCCGAGGGGCCGAGCGCCGCGTTAACACCCGTTTCACCGTGAATTTGACCGGGAGGACACCGGCGGTGACCTGAGTCGTCGCCTGCCCCGCATGTCCTTGCTTTTCCTCTGGGTCATCCTCACCGGGGATTAACGGATCGGCGCTGGAGGTTCACCGCCTTCCCCAAGGCCGGGGCGTGCCGGGGGTTTGATGCCAGGCCAGATGCCGGCGAGATTCTGCTGGCATCTTGGCGTAGAGAAATCCCCCTGCCACCATGGCACGTGTCCTCCCGGTGACGCCGGAACCCCGGGAGGGTCCCCCTCACCCCCGGCGCGTTCACGGGGAACCCCCCAGCCCTGCCTGCGTGTTGCTGCACGCTGCCCGCTGGGAATGGTGGGAACGCGCCGTGGGGCCGGGGGATGCACGCAAAGCCGGCGTTTTGATGGACTTATTTTTAACAGGGTGACACAAGATGCACCAGGGTCGTGTCCCCGTCGCCGGCAGCTCCTTTTGGGGGGAAACATCAGTGTTTCAGCCAGACCCAGATGCTTTGGGGCTCCATTTTGGGTTTTTTTTTTTTAGATGGAGGGGACACTGTGGCATCTCCGGCCTTTGCTGTTGAATTTCTCTTCCTTCCTTCCTTCCTTCCTTCCTTCTTTCCTTCCAGCTACTGCTTCTCCGAAATGGCTCCTGTCTGTGCCGTGGTCGGAGGCGTCCTGGGCCAGGAGGTGGTCAAGGTAATGGCTGTCTTTTTTGGGTGGGGGGGTCTGCACCCCAAAAACCCGCTTCCTCCCCCAAAATCCCTTTGTGGATATGCCGTTTTCCCTGTCCCCGGCCCTTTTATGGTTTTTTTTTGTTTGTTTGTTTGTTTTGCTAACGGGGTGAAGCCGAATTTATGGGTAATGGAATTTTCCGTGTCCCCCCCACTCCTCCCCAGGCCCTGTCCCAGCGGGACCCCCCCCACAACAACTTCTTCTTCTTTGACGGCATCAAAGGCAACGGGATCGTGGAGTGCCTGGGCCCCAGCTGAACTTGGGGG